AGCGGGATTTCACAAGGCAATATAATATAAACTAGTTCTGCATCAGTAAATACTTGTGCACAACTATTTGAAAACTTTAATGCCGTTTTCCTTATTTTGGTGTGGTATTTTCCCCACAGACGACCTGTTAGGACCATGCACCCCCCCGGCCTGATCCCCATTTCTCCTCTTTTTTGTTCTGTGGCTCGCACGTCTAGAATGAACATACAACGCTGAACAAATCACGGTCAACAAGTTGAGGACTTTTTTCATTGCGTTTCACTGTTAACGAATCACTACTTTACTTGTTAAATGACTCTGCCACGAGAAGACAAAAACCCGGAGGATCCCGAGAGCACGTCCTGCTGCCAGTTCAAAACTGAACGAGTGAATTGTGCATTTTACCAAAGAAATACCCATCGTTATGTAGTTGCCTCAATACCGCAAGTGTATGTTATAAAAGAACCAGTAAAAAAAAAAAAAAATCTTGTAAATCACACACTTTATATTTAATATATTGAAACAAAAATAGTTAAGAATGCAGGAACTGTTTTACAGATTAAAAAAATAGTTTTTTTTTAAACCATCTGATCTTAAAAATAGACAATAGTAGTGAAGCTTAAAATACAACCACTCGCATTAAAATGTTTCAAGCGATACCACCTTGGTGTGTGTGTGCTCTTGTCACATTGCTATTAGGATACTGCATCAGTTGTTAAAAAGGTTGTGTCAGTGAGAGTCACTCTTTCGCAATCAAAGTCGACAACAGTTTTGCCTTTGCTGGACGTTCCTGAGCACTCCTGATGCAAACTTTCCCGGCCCTCCGTCAGTTTGGAAGTCGAGTGCGCCATTGACCCGCTCTGGCTACCATTGGTTTGAGAGCAGACGTTACTGACTTTAGTATTTTTATTTTTGTGGTGGTTGTTGTAGACTTTGTACTTCATGAGAAGGATGAAGATGAAAACGAGAACCGAAGCCACGATGATCCCACCGATAATGATGATCATAGTTCCTCCGAGAAATTGCGCGTGAAGAGAGCGGCACTGCTTGTATTCTTCGTGCGTGGTGAACTGCACGCAGCCGATCGCCCTGGTCGCGGTCAGAGATGTCAACCCGTCGTCGTAGACAGCCAGGATGCAGAGATCGTACTCGCGTCCCGCCACCAGATCAGTCAAGAAAAAAGATTTACTAGCAGCTGGTATCATCCTAGAAGAGAAAATGGGCACAATCAATACTTGAAGCGCAGCAACACCTTCGGTTTCTAATTAGCAGCACCACGTAATAACGGGAGACCTCATTTCGAAAGTAATCGTAGCTACCAGCTGAAGGGTCGGCCTCCAAATCTCCGTCCGCTGGGAAGGAAATGCTGGAAGCCTCGTCGTTCGAACGACGGGAACACGCCTGCAGCGAGCAAGGGGCGGGTAGTAGGACATCTGATCCTCTGGACCTGGGCTGCCCCACTGGTGGCCTGTGGGCCATGTGCAGCCCAAGGTCAAGCTGCGGCCTGGGCTCACACTATGGCTGCGGTGGCAGCAGCATTAGGGGCTCCAGGCACCCCCCTCCCTCCAGCTACATGCAGCTTATGTGGGGGTGTCCATGCAGGCACGGGGGCTGGAAGTGGAGGGGAAGGGGTGGGGAGACAGTGACGGAGACACGTGGGCATGTGGATGCACACAGACTTCTGGTGCATCCACGACGCACCTGCCCTGGAAGCCCACAGACCATCTAGTATGACCCCTGCCACTTCCAAGTTGGACAGCCCTACTCCAGACCTCACATTTCTATATTTTTGTTGCCAAAAGAACAATCATCAGCTGGAAATTACTCAGGCAAGATTTTTTTAAGTAACTTCAGAGTTCAGGACACATTTCTGATGCGTCACCACATGACGGTAGAACGTGACACCGCTCGGCAGGTTGGTTTAGGACACGACATTTAAATTCACCATAGTTTTAAGGCAAAGTTTTCATAACTGGGCTCTACCAAATAATCTTCCTGCTGGCTCCGGGCACTTCTGCTCTAAAATACGTGACGTTTCAGCACTGGAAAGTTTTTACACAATAAATAGTACAAGGACTTTGCACCTGCATGTCTGGTAACTTGCACGTGGGCGCATCTACACGTCACGCGACGGCCACGTAGTGACCACGTGGGGCTACACGTGCCCGGCAGCTACTTTGCCATAGCAGCGTGCTCCCCTGGCACAGCGGGCCGTGCAGTACGGGCGGTTACCGCGCCATGCCAAAGGAAGTACTAAAACACGGTGCAGTAATTATGTCGCCGTACGACGTGTAGATGAGCCCTGTAAGTAGCATGATTTTGTAGCAAAATGTCAGCTGTACTTGCAAAATTCATCAACTGCCCAGCCCGGTCCAGCCTTAATGTGAAGGCTGTTTTATCCTGTGCACACGTGTGCGAGCTTGTACAAGTGTGTGTACAGAATAAGGAGTGGAGGGCTAAATATGGCCTAAACAGTGCATTTCCCATAGCAAAAAATACATAAAACCGGTCCTGTGATGTACAAAAGATCCAGTTACTGAGAGAACCGATCCTAACAGAGATAATAGAAGCACAAATCAAACAGATCTCACGCTGGAGGTCAGGAGTACCAGCAAACTTCGGGTCACGGATACATGATTAGTCGGGGGTTTCTTTTGGTGTAGACTACTGTAACTCTCCAAAAAACCAAGACAAAACAAAAGAAAAAAAAAAAAAATCAATGCAACTGCATTTATTCCAACTGAGAATCTGGTCATGACCACACCGTCAAATACTTCAAGCGACATGTTAAGCTAAGCTTCTCTAACCAGGAAACATAAAGCAAAGGATATTTTCACGTGGTCACTCAGCCAAGTATGGAGTCAACATGCCTAGCGTTGAGAATTGGAAGCGACAATCCTTACTCAAACCTTCCTGAGCATGTGTTTGAACACGCTACTGCCATCAGTTCAGTTACAGCAATTGTCGTTTCTGGGATTTTTATAATCACCGCAGGAAAATCATGTGTATTTGCAAAACACCGTGACTCTACAAATAATCAAACTATTGCCCAAGGGACACATGCCAGTGCAAACGACTGGAGGGAAAAAAGGGGGCTATAATATTATATACGGTGCATCTACACATGCGCTCTAATGCACATTAAAATAAGCTAACGCACATTAAAGCGTCACACAAAAACCATGCAATTTTGCTAATGTGCGTTAAAATAGGCTAACGCACCTTTTCCAGTACCTCACAATGCAGGGTTCCTATACACGTGCAGGGAGGCTGCTCCGACGCACGGAAGCAGTCTCGATTAATCGAGTCTGCTGGAGCGTGGTAATTCCCGTTCTCCAGCAGACTCGAGCGTCACGTGTGTCAGTGCCCCACGTTGAAAAGTGGTGGTGGGGCACTCTAAACCAAAGCTCATTCGATGAGCTTTAGTGCAAAGTGTCCTTTGCCATTTTTCAGCACGGGGACATTAATACATGCGACACTCTGGTTGCTTCTAATTAGCACGTCTCTCAGAGCTGTGCTAATTAAAGCACCCCCCGAAGCACATGTATAAATACCCAGAGGTACTAAATGTAATGTGCATTAGCAAAAGCGCCTTAATGAACATGTAGAGGCGCCCACAGACAATTATTGAATACATGCAGAAACACACGAGGCGACACATTTCTACCTAGCTTCTCATGCCTTCAAATACGTCCTTGGAGCAGTTTATAATTCTGGGATTACAAAAAGATGAATATACAAGTTCAGAACAGTACCCAACCAGACGTGCAAGGCAATGTCCGCCACACAGCGCCAATATTCTGCTTAGACAAGTGTTATACTTACAGCCGGTTAAAAACAAGGGGAAGACACGAAGGTTTTCAGGAGCAGGGCTGAAGTCTTGTTGGAGCCATGAGGATCCAGGACACATCTGAGAAGCAAGGGGTTTTTGTGGCACCTTTTACTGGAGCAACTATAAGGCTCTTGGGTAGCCTTTTCTCACACCTGATGCCCGAACGCTGGTTCAACAAGAACCCCCACTATGCGGTTGGTCCTGTACGAGATATCGCTTAAAATCTTTGCATCTCAAACCCTTTCAGTAAAATGTCTCCGTCTCTTCCCCTCCCATTTCTTTGAAGTTACATTAATTGAGTATTGCTTGTTATTCTGCTCTGATTTGTGACCAGAGAGATTTAGGGGTCAAAATTATCATCATCAAAGACCCACAAATATATTTCCCCCTTTCTTTTACGTAAGCAAGATCACTTACAGGTTTTTCTTTACTGTTTTAAATTAGATGCATTAAAAATCTCTTTTTGAGGGAGATTGCTCTAAAGGCTCTAAAGAAACAGACTGGGAATGGTCTGGCTTTTAGCTCACAAGGCCAAGGTGTAATAAGAGAGATCTTTTCTTTTTCTATTTTTACAGTTATACCGCTGAGTTTCTAACAACATTTTTACCTTTCAAATAGGTTTCATTTCTCCAGCATTTGTGATTTATAAAATCCATAACTTTCCAGAGTCTTCCAGGAAAAAAAAGCATTAGACAAGCATTAGACCTGACATTATTTATACTTATTTATTTTCTTAAGTCACTTTCTTACTCATCTGAACGCATGTGGCTCATCCTTGTGACATATGTTATTATCTCCTATTGATGTTATCACTTCCTTGGCTACCCACTGCTCCCTTCTGGTCAAACCCTCAGCAGGCAGACAGACAAACAGCCTGATCTCACACAGCGTAGATTCTCAAAGTTTTGCATTAAAAAAAAAAAAAAATCAAAAAATCAATCATTTCGAGACGTTGAAAGCATTCTCTTACCAAATAAAAGAAAATGAAACAGGAGACCATCTCAGTGGTAAAGTTTTAAATACGGTATCCGGTCTTTTAACCTATTATCTTTGCCAGACAGGTATTTAAAAGATTTAAATAATTTTGCCAGTTAGCTTTAAATCATTTACCTTGAGGTCTAGTTTCTCTCTTCATCCATTCTGCATTACAGGAAGGAAAAATTCCTGATATTGCTTTACCCCCTCGCTGTCAATGCAATATAGCAACAGGTCAATGGAACAACTGGGTCCCAGCTTGTCGTTACCGAGGGCTAAACAAACAACCACTTTCAACTGCTTTTCACGCCTAGGATTTTCTAGAATTTCCTCCTTCCCTGCCTCCGAATTAGAACGAAGCATTTAAACTTGCCAAAGAACAGAAATACTAAAATATTTAGCGAAACATCCAAGTCATCTTATTGAAACATCTTGTTTACTGCAATGGAACAGCTGCCATTAAGGTCAAACCATTGCAACGCACTATAAAATATTACATGTGTCAGAAAATAAGGTAAATGTACATACACATGTAATAAAATAAAACATTACATATATAATATTTTAACCTTCATTTGTGTAATGAGTGCTGCAATGAATAACGTATCAAACTGCAAGCTCTATAGCAATCGTGAGTTCTCAACCCACGGCCCAATCAGCACACTGCTGCAGCCCATGTGACATCCTGCTAAAACATTTTTTAAAATGGATACACAGGAAGTGAAGTTTCATAGTTTCATAGGTGTTAGGGCTGGAAGGGACCTTACAGGTCATCAGAGCCACCCCCGCCACGCGTGGGCAGAAAGGCCACTGGGATCAGATGACCGCAACAAGGTGGGCGCCAAGACGTTTTTTGAAGATCGCCAGGGTGGGTGACTGGACTTCTGGGGCAGCCTGTTCCAAACCCTCGGCACTCAACTGGGAAAGAAGTTTTCCTTATGCTTAGCCCGAAGCAATCTTCAATCGGCTTGTGCCCATTATTCCTTGCCCTCCCCTGGGGGGCCTTGGTGAACAGATGCTCCCTCAAACCCTGACGTACGCCCCTGATATACTTATAGGCTCCAACCAAGGTTCCCGAGCCTTCTCTTCTCCAGGCTGAGCAATCCCAAGTCCCTCAGCCTCTCCTCATGCGTCTTGGTCTCCAGGCCTCTAAATCATGCGTGTGGCCCTCCCCTGGACTCTCTTAAGCTTCTCCACATCCTTCTTGAAGTGCAGTGCCCAGAACTGGATGCAGTACTCCAGCTGTGGTCCTACTGGATGAGGCCCACAACACATTGATAGCTGCAAGTGGGGCCCGCTATGGCAAATTGGTTGAGAACCACTGCTCTATCTATAGGATCGTACATCTTCAACATCTGTTTTCATACACCCCAAAACGTAGAGATTCTACACTCATTGG